CATGAGCCTCACTCAAGGCAAAATGTTTAATAGTGTTCCCTGTTTTTGTCTTTCTGGGAAGCACTTTGCAAAAGATTAATGAGGGTCCCTGCTTTACAAAGCATATGGGGAGCTCTGACAAGGAAGCAATGCTGCAGTTTATGCTTTGCCAGCTCCACTGGGGATGTGGAGTTTTGTTTTCTAAATCGCTGGGGAAATCCAAAGGCCCCAAAACAGCTACTTGTACATGATGGGTGTCGTGAGCCAATGCCAGGGGGGCACAACAGGTTTATCACACATTCACATGAAAAACTAGTGCAAATCCAGCTTTCAAAACATGCACAACCCTGGCCAGATCTCTCAACATGTGAGACCAGAAGCATCTCTTACTTGCTGTTTTAAAACTACATCACAATAACAAATGTAGTGATAATGAAATGCAGAGTCTGGTAGCATCCAAAATTCAGCAGCTGTGGTATTTACCATGAACCTGAACTCCCAGTTTTAAGCTGTTAAGTGCAGAAAATGTTTCTTGTAGCTAAGTGAAGAAATTCAACCCAGAGAGATTATTCCTCCTTGTGTGACCCTGGGTAAAACCACCTGCCAACCACCCCTAACTGTAGCTCTCCCTCCTGTGCTACCCCCACCTGCAATCCACCTCCAGCTGTTTTTTTCTGTCCTAAGGGGAAGCCAAGGTGGTGGCTGCCCTGGATGGTGAGGGCATCACCAGGAACACAGCTGCATCCTCCTCCTCCAGTCAGTGCAGACCCACTGACACAGGTCTGTATGCTGGTTTTTGGAATACTTTGGAACAATGAACTAGTTTTCAAGCCATAGGTGACTAACCCCCTTGATACTGCCCCAACAGTTAAGAGACCTCTTTTCTGAAAGGTCTGAAGTCAGCCACTATGTAATCATCTGAGCTTTCCACTTCTCCCATCTCATTTTCTCTCCAATTAATTCAATGGGAGGGATTTCAGCTGTTCATTGTGGAGTTGGAAAGACCTTGACCAAATGGCCCTTTCTTCCCCTCCCTGCCCATCAGCCTTTGGGCTCCTTGCAAAGTGCCTCAGGCTAAAGTTAAGGTCAGTGAAAACTTTTCCTTCCACTCACTCACATTTCACAATAAAACTCACATCCAGATCATTGCTCAGAAAACCAGGGCTTCCACCAGGGCAAGCCCTGCCCCAGGCAAACTTGCCCAGCACCATTTGGGTCTCCAGAGAGGAACCAGCTCCTGTGCTAGGCCAGGTTCCTGCCTCCCCACCAGCACCAGCTGCATCCAAGTCAGTCCCATGCAGCCCACCCAGGGCTCATCTTTTGGAACCCTTCAAACACTCATCTTCTGGAATTGTGGAGCTGTGAGGAAAGGTGAAGGGGAGAAAAGAAAATTCCCTTGAGCTTTACAGAGCAGCTTGCTACCTGAAGACATTCAACTGCCTCAGGAAGAAGAGGTAAATTTAAGGAACTCACAGCCAAGAAGTTGTTTTGCTGAGTTTGAAATCTCATTCTTATGCTTATCTCATCCAAAGCTGGAAATAACACTGGCCACACAACCTGATAAGGGGAAAAATGTGTGGAATAACAGCCAGTGCAACTGAAGGGAAATCTGCTGCACAAAAAAAAACTACCAGAAAGCATCCTTCAGAAAAAAACATGCTTCCACAGTCAAGCCAAACCTCTGCAATCTCCATAGCTACAGATCCCCACCAGCTCTTTATTGTCCCTTAGCTAGAGATGATGATTTCTGTAGGTCAGCCTCCAAAACAGCTGGTGTGAATGTTCCCTAATCTGCTTCAGAGCAAACTCCACCAACAGCTGAGACTCCCTACAGTGAGAGATGAAGCTGGAGAGGCAGCAAGCTGCTATTTCTCTACAGATGTTCACATAGCTTTACATGCACTACTGCTATTTTGGCTTCTCCCTCTAATCCTAAATCAAAGATGCAGAAGGAATAAGGAATATTGTTCTAAAATGGACCAAACATGGTCCCATCTTTGAGCTGACCATATGGGACAAATACCCAGAGACCTCAGCAGTCTACAGAATCAGGTTCTAAATCTTTGATCCAGTCTTCAATCCATTTGAAAATACTGAAAGGGTCTGAGAATGGAGTTGTGGCTCTAAAACTGGAGAAGTGCTATGCTGAATGGGCTATTTTGCCACCTTCTCCAGCTACAGCATGGACAGCTCTTTATTACAGCCCCCAGCCTGCTCCTGGCTGGTTGTCAGAACCTTCAGTGGAAATCCCTCCAACCTGCTGGTGCATTTCAAATCAATGGGTCCAGTTAGCAAAGCTTTACAGCTGCAGCTGAAAAGGCGGGGAAGAGTCATATCAGGAACTAAGCTGGCAGAGCAGAGGAGAAGAAAGCTTCCAAGAGGTGATGATGAGCAGGTGGGAAGAAGCAACTGTGTCAGCTGGAACAGAAATGTGAACAGAGCCTTACACTCCCTCAGGCAAGTAATTCCCTGGTGGGGCTGCAGGAGCAGCCCCCAGCCTCATGTCAGCACTTCATTCATAGCATTGCCTTCCTGTTTATAACCTGCCCAACTGCAAATTGCAGTTTTTATCCCCCCCCACCCCCGCATTATGGTGATGGTTTGGAACATTGAGATGTTTGGAAAGGGGCAATTTGGCATCAGGAGTCTAAAAAGCAGATACAGATGACATCCTAAATGTATCTTTTACGACTTCGGAATGATTCTTTAAATTAAGCTCAGAGTGTGTGACAGCTTCTGGTCGTGCCGCCAGTGAGGAAATAAAACAAAAAGCAAGAGGTTTGTAAGTATCTGCTGGTCTTACAGATCATGTCCTCTAGACACCTTGCTTTCCCTCATGTCACTTTGAGCTGTGAGGTACCAAGTGCTTCCCCCAAGGCAAGTGCTCCAATAATTTTCAATTGTCTCTTCACCACATATGCCCTCAAACTCCAACATACTTCCAAATTCAAGGCTTATAAAAAATTAAATGCCCCAATAATTCTAAATTGTGTCTGTTCAGTGTTACTGGAGCCTGTCCATTCCTTCAGTTTGGGGATTTTTGTTTTGTTGGGGGGCAGAGGAAGGAATACTTTCTATTAGTGCTTCAAATTGGAAGCCAGTCAAACAGCATCATAGCAGAATGATTCAGCAGCCTCTGAGCCGATACACAGTGTAACATAAAACAGGATTAGGAAAACAACAATGCCTGGAGGAGAAAGAACCCACACAAAGAATCATGGCAGGAGAACAATACCAGAAAGGAGCAGAGGGAATAATCCTTACTTGCTTCTGAAGAGCAGGTCAGATGACCTAATAGATGGCTTTCAATGCCCTTCCTTCCCCACCGAGTTGCAAGGTTCAGCTGCCCAGATCCAGCCACCACCACAGCTTAATAAAAGGCCCTGCATCAACAGAACCACACCAAGTGTTTCTGTCTGCACACCCCCAGACTGCCACCATTTATCTGAGACCACATTGTGTCCCCCTCTGGCATAAGACCCAAGGTTCTACCTCACAGCAGGCAGGAGCTTATGCAGAACTAACTGGAAGTTCATGACAATTTAGGACAGGAAGCAAGAAAACAACTTGAGGCTGTGAGTCTTCCAGTCACAAAAAAAAAAGTGGGGATTTCTCAGCCCCAAGAACTAGCAGCACATTAAAGTAACAGAGATGTTGAGCTAAGTGCATTCCCAAGCACTGTCCTGAACACGAATTAAATTAAACATGTATTTCATGATCTCCTGAATCAAAGCATCAGTGATCACCTATGGCCAGTGTCAAGAAGGAAGAGAAAAGCATAATTTAAAACTTATTCTTTGTGAACCTGAAGTTCCTGTTGGCAACCTTGTTGTAAATTAAGACATACCTGTTACAGCTGCAGCCTGGGAGCAACAGAGGAAGGCAGAGACTCTCAGGAGTTTTACTAGCTCAGCAATGGCTGAATGACTTCTATGCAGAACATGAAATCACAGCATCATGCAAGTGCTGAAAATCAGGCAGTTATATCACAATTTTGATTAAATAGCTATATCCAAAGTTTGGTAGAGAGACTCAAAAACTGGGGTGGGAAAAAACCTCTGCCATGGTATCCTCTCATGGACTGAAAAAATGATAAAGTTCATCCTTGTTTAACTCACTGAGGGATGTGTGGAATTTTATAGAAACTGCTGCAACAGTTTTCCCAGTGGGGAAATAACTGAAGCATGAGATAAGAAATCAGCTATATCCTAACTTGCAGTGGCCAGTGTTGTAAAAGGAAATGCCCAATAGAGGTTTAATATATAGAAAGATGGCAAATAGCTGACTGGGTTTCTGAAAAAATAAAACATAAACCAATTCTCTAATCACATCTAATCAAAGAAGACAATCAGTTGCTAAAAACTGCTAGGAAAAAAAGCAGATATCAGAGAGATGGCACCATGCATATCTTCTTCAGTAGTGTTTTGGGAGTATTATAGCCTGCAGAATTTAATTATTTGTTATTACTTCTGGGCCTGGAGGTGAAAATCATAAATCAGGACCATTCATAACATGCAATAATGAGGTGAAACACTCATAAGGAGTGTTACATGATGAAATCCTTTGAGATTGTGTGTAACACTTCCAGACCTTGATAATAGCATTAAGAATTCTTCTGTCTGTTACATCTATTATTCTCTAATTTCTATACTGGGTTTTCAGTCTTTTTTCCCCAACATCTCAAAATATTGCTGTCATATGGGATTCCTTCCTCCATGCTGCCTTAAGTATATGTTTATAACAAAACCATAGGAAAGAATTCCATGCTTAAAAAGATGGGCAGGTTTTAAATTACACTGTGTTTACTTAGAAGAGCTTTTAATACCAGAGTTTTCCCAGGGACTTTTGCTCTGGAATTCAGGACCCTTATTGTTTTTATAGTGGGCTATTTGATCCCATTTAAAAGGTGGCTACATTTTTGAGTAATAATGCTATAAAAGAAAATAATGTTGTCCCTACCCTTCTTTACCCTCCCCTCTACTGAGTTAAAAAAAAAAAAAGTGATCCCAACCCACGATGTGTTAGAGCTTTGTTTTCTGAGTAACAAGACTAATCATGTTTCCTCTGCTTGAGGTCTCTCTCTTCTCTTCATTTTCTTCTAAGTCCTCTGGATCCACACTGACATAGAAATATCCCATGATGGAGAAAATAATGCACACAGCAAAGAGGAGAACAGTGAACATGACAAATTCAGCCCACTACGAAAGAAAAAAGAACAGCAGGTCAGGGGACCCCAGACTCTCAGTCCAGAGGATTTCTCTGCACTTCCAAATGCATTTTAAAGAGCTGGGTGAAAATTACTTTTTAGCTTCTGAGATTGCTCACGAGATAGGAACTTTCTCATCCTGTTTTCTAGTAAAATCATGTACACAGTGTAATTATGCATAGGTGATACACCTTTAAACAAACCATTTTGATTGGGCTAGTTTCATTAAATTTTTTCTCAAAATATGTCCTGACTGGAACGTTTTGGTCACATGATGCCTTTAGGAGAGGCAGATTCCTGTTAGCCAGAAATAAGCCCCATTTCATGCCTTCGTCCCAGATGTCTGATAGCCTGAATTAAGCAAGTTCTGTACCACAACCTCCCCATTCAAGTCCAACATCTCAGGGTGCCACAGGCAGCTGGCCCTGAAGGAGTCCCAGGCTAGATGCTTGAGGACGCTGCTTGCTCACTGGCCTAGCTGGATGAAGGCAACTGCAAGCATGGCTGGCACCGTGCTCAGGCTCCAGGCCCAAATACAGGCTTGCTTGCCTAGAGCTGAGCTCCAGCAACACTATTGTAGTGCAGGTCTCTGTTATTTACTGTCACTGGGGGACCTGGGGAGAGTCATTGCTCTGGAGGGAACCACTGCTGAGGGCAACACTGAGCTGTCTGGGAGGCAGCTTGGTGTGGGCTGCCATCACTTCACTGCAGGAGCCTGGGGTGTGCAAAGAAATCAGTGTCTCAGGACACAGACCTCCAGAAGCACCATCCAGGCCCATTTCAAAGCATTACCTCTGTTTTAGGAGCTGAACCATACCTGTGCCATTGGTGCAGCCTCTGCAACAACAAGCACAAGGGTATTCCCAACAGCCACCGTGAGCAGCCAGCCTGCCTGCAGCACCGACTTCATGCTGGCTGGAGACTGGAAAGAGAAGGGCCTGGTCAGTGGGTGTTATGCTGTGCCCTTCTGCCCTGGCTCACCCTGTGGTGTCCTGCCCAGTGTAGGTGTCACTGGCCTCAGCCTAGGAGGAGATGGAGGGATTTCCTCTGCATAGAGGCTCCTTCATGGTTAATTTCAACAGCTGCATACAAAGAGCTTTTAAACCATGTCCTCCAGGAGGACACATGAAGGAGATGCTGGTTTTGCAGAGCAGGATCCTGATCCTGCATCATCTGAAATCATAAGATCAGGAAGCCCAAGGAGCCACACAACAAACCCTGCAACTTGGAGCCTGGTGCCTGTACAACTTCAGAAAACAGACTGGATCTTCATGTTCAGCTTCTTGCTGATGACAAATTTCCCACATCCCATGAAACAGCCCACTGGATTAACTGTCCTCACTAATAAACAATTAAACTTTACTTTAATGATAAATTTAAGAAGCTTCACCTTTTTGATCTTGTAGTGTCTCAGTCCTCCCTTCTCACAGACCTTCTCCTCAGAACACAGTACACTAGTCAAATCATCCCTTGCACACTCATTACCCTCTGCTCTGTTGTTACAGACTCAGGTTGGCTTAGACCCCTTCAGTATTGCAGTTTAAAGCAGGTTCCAAGCCCCCATGCCACCTTGTAGTCCTTGAGATGCCCTTGCCTTTTTATCACTGAAAAACACATTCCACAAAATACTTCACTGAGAGAAAACCTGGTATTAGAGTGTACAGAGCTTTCACATTAAACCACTGCTACACACACACTTCTATCCAGTTCTGTTCTATGTTCTCAGCTTTACCAGAAAAGGAGTTTCCTGAGTATAATTAAGAATGGGTATCTTCAGAGTATGAATTAATTGAGCTTGGAGGCACTCAGCAAGAAGTGTTAAATCCCACTTTCAGCTGAAGCACAGACAATGTTGCCAGTAATCATAATGCCAAATGACACATAAAAAGTCAATGGCACATGCAGAAAAACATCCTGAAGTCTCATTGCAAGCCCTTTATCTTTAAGTGGAGTACCTGAGAGTAAGAGAAGGCCAGACCTGTAATGGAGAACATCACCTCCCCAGCAGATATTAATAAATATTGTGGTAACTGCCAAGCCATATGGACATTATTTGCTTTGATGTCTTCTGACTTCCATGTCTTAACAGAACTTCCAGAAACCTAGCACAATAATAAAGACACATTGATTAGCTGCTGAAAGATCAGGTCCTCCTTAGCCTAGAGAGCAACAATAAATTTACCAAAACAAATTTTTAAGCAAAGGTAAAGTGAAAGTAAAACTCTGCCCTGGAAGCAAAACTACAGGTCTGACTGCTGACATTTCCAAGCCTGCCCAGGGCAGAGATGGCAGGATGGAAGGGTCCCAGCTCATTCATGTGCCACAGGAGTTACATGAGTCACCACAATCTGGCAATTTGCCTTCTATAGTGAGGCTGGGAAAAGCCTCTGTGGCACTTGTGCAGAGTTTGTGATCTGCTGCTGTTCCTAAGGCCAAAAGAAGATGAAGGGATAAATGCTTATTGCATTTATGTGGCCACTGCTTCCATTTAATGGGCACTGTACCTACTGTAACAGTGACACCCAAACAAATCCAGTTCAGGAATACCAAGAGTAGGAAAGACTGCCTCATATCAAATGTATTCAACAGTTATGGTAGCTGTATTCATAATTTGTTTTGTTTGCTTTCCTGGGCATACTTAATACTGCCTCTGATGCACAGAAGCAGAGAGATTTGACTATTAGCCAGGAAAACACTAGGCTGAAATTACTTCATTCAGAAAGCCCTGTGTTTAAGGAGAGTACTTGGGAAAATACAAAGGATGTTTATGAGATGTACTTAATCACCATGCAGGGAGGCAAATCAAGAGACTATTTCAGAAGGCTAAAAGGGGTGAGAGGAGAGCTGTGCATTGCTCTTTAGCCCATAAAGAAATCTCACAAGCACCATGCTGTAACTGCACACAGAGGAAGGCTGAGTAGAAGGCAACATCCTCATGATTTAAGTATCACAGCTCAGTCACATTAGCAGACTAATATATTGCATTCTTGGTTCTTCTATATAGCATTCCTGACAGAGAAACACAGCTCAGTAAAAATCACTGCAATAATTAAAAGCTATCTTGGCCTGAAGAAAACTCTCTAGAGAAGAAGAAAACCACAGGGAGAGAGATGGAAAAAACAGAGGGTCAAAAATCAAGGACTAGGACAGAGTCCAGAGGGGCTGATGCACAAAGCCATCCCCAAGAAGTCATGGCAGGGACTTTTGTAGATGGGACCACAAGCTGGAATCCTTGCCCACAGTGATGTGTCACACATCTGCCTCAGCTGGCTCTGACTCAGCTGCATTACCAGAGGCTCTGGGGCAATATTCTTAGTGTAATATTCTTAGTATAATATTCTTCCTGCACCTTCTCTACTCAGTTTCTCATTTGGTGGAATGCACTTGCAGCCATGGAGGAAGGGTTTGGCCAACATCTCTTCAAGTGTGTATGTGCTTGATGTATGTAAATCTCCACACTCAGAGGGCAGCATCTGCCTGTTCCCTCCAGAACTGTGTATTCTGCTCCAGCTACTGAAGTTAAAAAAAAAAAAAGCCAGGTGCTTTGCAGCTATATTTTCCCCCCTAAGTATTTGGACTCCACAGACATGCACAGCTTCCATTAATTGCCCAACAGGGAGATGTTACTGCCAGGGAGTAGCTGACAGCAGTCTGCTCTTCTCATCACAACACAGAAGTCAAAGTCCCAGAGGGCAGCTTAGCAGTGTGTCCTGTCAGACCTGGTTTGTCTGTGTGCCTGTGCAGTAGAAAGGTTACAATGAGAACTAAACTGATCATATTCATCTCTATGGCTCCTGCCAGCTGGACCAGGGTTGGAGCAGCATGCTTAAGAGGCTGGCAGGCAGGGAAAGAAATCCACCCTCTCAGCAATGGTCACACCCCACCAGGGCTACGTTGTCCAGAAAATCATGCCTTAACTTTACACTAGGCTCCAAATGAGCTCTACAGACAACGAGAGGAGGAAAAACAGATGCATAATCTCACCAACCTCCTCCTTCAACATTTTGTCCTTCTTTCCCCTCATCAAGTCTTGGAAGATCAGCAAGTTAAATGTGAGGATACAGCAAACTGTTTCTGCAGAGTTTTTCAGGTGTGAGGTACCACCAGCCACTGTACTTCAAAGACCTCAAATAGGGTTGGCTCTTTGCAGTGCACTAGTGCAGTGTAACTGAACAAGGATATCATGAGACCAGCACAAACAACGGATCGTATGATTTTCCATTGAGGATTTCCATCAAGGAAAATAACTTGCTTCTTTTTTAACCCATGAAATGTGACAAGATCACAGTGTAAGGCACAATGGGTACCCACTCACCTTGCTTATACAGCTACCAAAACCTCTTACTAGCCCTTGTATAACGGACTACCTTTAGAAGGCTACTGCCCATGTCTTGCAGGATGAAGAAAGCAAGTGAGAGTCACAAACAGAAGAAAAAAAGCACTGCCAGAGACTAGAGCAGAAGGAGCTTGTAACCATCACAGGGACACTTACATTATATATCACGATGGTGTAGGATGCACCGAAGTCAAGCAGCCCCAGCTTCAGGGTGAACTCTCCTGCTTCAGTTATGCATTTTCCATTATTATATCTAGATAAAAGGATGAAGTACAATATTTCCCAGTTACTCCCACAAAGAGCACAGAGCAGAGCTATCAAACATGCCCCTGCAGTGGTGTAGGGAGGGTTTATGATAGAAAGCTGCAGTAAAGTTTATGTCAGACCATCACTAGAGTTCTTGCATTCTTTACCTTCCAGAAACACTCAAGCACTGGCTGGATTTCACCTAATGACCTGGGCTATTACTAATATTTTTTAATGGCTTCTGCTGACTTCTCACTCCCCCATCAGGCTCGTTTTCCTTCCAAACTTTCATCCACTTCTTCAGGAACTGTGGGCCAGACAAGTTAGCCAGGCTCAAGCAGCCTTCAGGAAATCAGACACGCACCCACAAGCCACTCTGTTTCCTTTCAATAGAGCAAATTAGCCTTCACAGTTGTTCTTCTGTGTTGGATGTGTGAGATGGCACCAAGGCTCAGTAGTATTGCCACCATGGCTGCTGCATCCTACTAAATTGCAGCAATAAATATTTTGGATGGAGTTAATGCAGAGAAAAGTCATGAAGCTTGTTTTCAAACATTGCAAGTGCCAGAAATACCCTACAAGAGCCAACTCCAATGCTGCCAAAACAAGGCCATATGGAGCCCCTGTCTAACAAGCCCAGCCTGGGAAGCTTTGTGATGTTACTTGATGTTACCAGCCCACATACCAACACTTTGCAGCATGGAATATGAAGTGGTCTTTTCCTGAGAGCACCCTAACACTAAGAGTTTGGGCCTGAGAGGATACAAAAATAGAGCAGGCATTAAGTGATAGAGTGGACTTCACCATGTCCCACGCTTCTCTGCTGACAGATGCATAGGAATGGCCTCTCTCTTCCCTCTAAGCCCCCAAATAAGGATAATAAAAGCTCAGAGAAAGTTAAGTCCTGTAACTGGACTTCTTCAAAAGGCTTTCTGAGTTTCCAAAATTCCCCTCACTCGACTCTGAGAAAACTCAGAGTATGGCCTAAAATGGGAATACTGTTTCCAAGCTTTGTCCCTACTGGTTTTATCTTACCAATGCAGTAACAATCACAGGAAGGAAGCTACCCTAGACACTGTTGGGAGGCTGCATCTATTCAATTGCCTATTATACCCTGGGATATTGATTTGCTGTCCTTTGGCTTGGACGCTTCACAGACTAAATGCTTGGTGCTTCTGCACACACACAAGTGGCCTGGAGCACCTGCTCTGTGCAGAGCTGATAATTCTGGTTTTTTACAAGCATCTGCCCCCACAACCAAGTGCCAAGACTATAGCAGTGAAGATTTTGCTAGTTGTCCAAGAAAAACCCCATTGTATCCACGGAGAGGCCTCAGCAAGGCCCTTCAGCACAGCAAGGAAAACTTACTTGTCCCTCTCTAGCAGCAAGTACTCAGAAGTGCTGTAGTTTTTCTGAACAACAATGAACCGCCTGCTGTCAATGGTGAGGTTGACATCCTGGCTCAAACCATTAACGAATCTGCAAAGAAAGCATCTTGCATTCAACTGCCAGGCAGGGCAGGAGAAACACAACATCAAACACCTCAGAAGTAGTGCACTCTCTCCCCAAAAGCCTTCTAACTCCATGGGGTTATGACATTCTCTCCTGCAAACTATAAAAATATTTGCCTGATTTGTTGCCCGTTTTTTCCATATAAGATTAGTTTTCCTTGCTGTGTAATTTTACATTCTTATTCTTCTGTTAAAAGTGACTCTCATATTTTGTGGGTTATGACTTTCAAGCAACCCATTCTCAGAAACCTTCAAAGACTGCTCCATGGCTGTTCAAGAGGACAGAGTCCCAGCCCACCCCAGGAAATGATGAAGTGAGGTGTCCTGATGGGCATGTGCACCACCCTGACACTTCCCAAGGAGTTTCTACAAGTGGGAAAGTTTTCTAGCAAAATAAAATATTTTCACGGGAATGTCCAGGTTGTTTCATCCAGTGTCTATATTCTTTTTTTGTGCACAAAAGAGTTTTCTTTTGACAACTTAAAAACTGTTAGCAAAACCAAACACCTTTCATTTGATCTATGTTCTAAAATATTTTGGTTTTCAGTTCTTAAAAGGTAGCTCAAATCCCTGAAGGTACTCAAGTGCTTAACAAAAGTGACTTTTTTCCTAAAGAAACCTCTTCATAAATTTTTGAAGGGAAAGTTTGGGAATTCTGTCAGAAATATTCACAGGAAAGTAAGAAATACCTGACTGCAGGTATTAATCAAGTCTCCAAGGTGTTGTTTAGTCAGCAGAAACTTTGACAAACACAGGGCTATAAAGAGATACTGGTCTCCTGCTCCTGTCAACACAGCCTTTCAGAGCTGTCAGCATGGGAGTTGGTCATTGTTTTAAACTATTTAAAGTTTTTTTAAGGTTATCTGTCTAGTTGGGTTTTGGCTGTTTGGTTTTGGTTTTGTTGTTTTTGGTTTTTTGTTTGTTTTTAATTGTAACTTGCCAAAATCCTTCAGAAAACTCAGCTGTAACCCTCAGGGTTTTTTGGAAATCTGCTTCTTCCGCATCTCACACCCTTGCGTAGGTCTGGTGATGTGCTGGAGGTGTGACCTCAGGGAGATGGCATCTTGGCACAGACTGGCTCACAACTGTTCATGGAGTAGCTCAAACTTGGAAAGTAGACTAGCTGCTCAGGCAGAACTGATGCCCAACTGAATTGTTTATAAGGATGTAAAATTGTCACTCTATCTGATTTAGTAGCTGTTTACACATGAGGTTGGGTAAGTGAACATCATGGGTTGGCCAATTTGCAGAGGACATATGGCAACAGTTCCTTTCCAGATTGCTTCTTCCCTTTCTTTCCCAAGAAGGTGGGACACAGTGAGATGAATTTACCACTCTTCCAATGGAGGAACGTTGCCATTGCAACCCAGTCTATCCTAGGTAGTAAGTGGCAATAATGCTCAGCCCTGCACGGCAAGCAGGGGAGGTGACACACTGTCAGCCTCTGCAGCTGACACCTGAGTCTTGCATGAGACATGTGGGCTAGATTCCAAACTGAGAACATCTGGGTTATGTTACATGCAGTTTGCCTTAGACAAAAGCTGTTTCCCCCATGCCACCACCTCCAAATCCTTTTTTAAAAAAGCCATTCTTACCTAACAGCTGCCAAACCATTTTCTGGCTTTGCTTCCAAGTCTGTAATCTAAAGAGGGAAAGAAAAAAGAGAATCAAACATATTTATTAATGCTGCCTTATAAATAACGTGTAGCAGAAAATACTAGTGTCTGTGGAGTTATACATCTTGCAAAGTCTGTGGAATTTGACCAGACTCTCACAAAAGCTTTACATCTGGCCACAGAAGTAAAGTCCTGGTACAACAAAGCTAACAGCAAAAACTTCAGCTCCACCAAGGACTTAAGATGAGATCATTCTTTTTTTCCCTCCCCTCCTGCATAAGAAAAGGCTACAGCTTCAGCCATCCACCCTTATCTACTGAGGCATGTAACACCCTCCAAAAAAGTATTTGCCTTGATCAGAACATAAGAAGAGAACATTATCCACATTAGCCTCTTTCAATAATAATGACAATTAAACATGAGTGCCTTATTCCTACAAGATCTTCAACTGCCTAACTTCCAGACACTGATTCATGGTGTACTCAGACTTCACAGACATCTAAAAGCCAACAGAAGTGCTAGGTTACTACTCTGATCATCATGTAATGCTCATGTTTTCCCCAACCCTGAGGGAGACTGAGCTATTGTATGGTGCAGGCAGAGAGCATGAGGAACCAAGATGCCCTGGGCTTGTTTGCGTTCATGTCCTTGAACTGGCCACCTGATTGGGCACACTAGGGTGTGAATGTGCCTCTCCTGGAGATGACAGAGCATCAGCTCAATGGTTAACATGATCTACTTAATTTTAGGAGAGCCCCTTTGGGGTACAATGCTGAAAAATGACAGAAGATTATATGTCACACAAAAATAATACAGAGCAAGGTCCTTGGGTGGTAGAAATCCACACTTGTGCCATGTCCAACTAAAGTTGGCAGGGCAATTTCAGTTTCCACTGCCCACAGACAGAACCTAGACAAGACAAAAGGGACCAAATCTACTTTCAGAAACTGGGTCTCAACATTTTCTAGACTTTCCTCCCAATGTTAAACCCTGAGCTTTTAAAACCAAAAATCTAGAATTTCAGTATACCTGTAAAGTTTGTTTGATCCACAAATATTGCATGCCCTAGATAATAAATAGCCATAGTGAATAATAAATGTCAGAGCAATAAATAATAGACTTTTTTTTTTTTTTTTAATGGGAGGTGCATGGGGATTTGCACTGTTGTTTGCTGCAGACACACCAGCCAAATTGTTACTTGCTTTCATCAATGATTCCCAGAGCTCTCAAATTAATTTCCTGCCCACTCAACAGATCACAAAGAAGAAATCAATTTCAGTTTGGCACCCTCCAGGAAAGCACCCCCACCTGAGTGAGAAGACCAGACTCAGCAGTGATGAAGGCTGGCATGAGCCATGGCAACTCCAGGGCAAGCCCCGCAACACAGCAGTGATGCTGGCATTGCCTTCTTGCTATTGTAATGCTGGAAAAGCAAGCATCATTTACCACACCTCCCTTATATAAAGTTGAGAATGACAAGTCAATAGCATAACCCAAAATCACTGCTGTGCCACAGTGAATGGAAGCCTGCCCATACCTGGGTGAGCTTTAATTTAAACACAGGCCAGATAGCTGGGTCAGCACAGAGATGCACTGAAGCTCAGAGATTCCTTTGCTCCATCCTGCCACAGGCTCTCTCTTTTTAAGAACTATGTGAGAATCACTGTACAAGTATCCATTTCTCAAGATGACAGCACACAGTCACCAGGGACACAGGGAAACTTAACAACATTGTGTGGTAATGAGCCTCAGGGTCTAAACCATAAAGCAGAAAAAAACAAAAACAAAAACAAAAACAAAAAACACACCAAAAAAACCCCACAAGCCCCAATGTTAGGAAAAAAATTCTTAAAACTCCTTATTTTTAAAAACAGTTGTTTGATTTCTACTACACAATACTGAATTATTAGTGTGGCAACCCTGACAGGTAGGAGGCTGAGGAACTGCAAAGAGAATTCATATTTTAGCATGAGGCCAGACTGTGATGGCATTTACACACACACACCTGCCACAGTGTGCAACAGCACCACTTTTTCCAAGAGAGGTTCTTGGGGTACAGCTGCATGCAAAAGGTATCAGACCCTGGTCCTACATATCCCACCTAGCTCTCTGTGGTTGTTTTGGCAATATAGAGAAGTCCAAATACAGTTGGCTCTGCTGCAGAGCCTGAAATGAACTTCATCATTTATTCTGTAGAGCAAAACAAATGGGCCTTCTGTGCATTTTCACTAAACACTTGCAATAGCTAAACCTAAAATTTTTCCTCCGATACTTTTATTCCATGCCCAGCCCTAGAGCCCCTTTAACATCTTTGCTTTATAGAACCATCTTTGGGGGAAAAAAAAATATATATATCTTTGGCTGTTTCCTCAAGCTTTCTCAAGCTCTGCTGCCTAGCAGGCATGACTCTGCTCTCCCACTGCAGCATTCCCTGGATTAAAGTGTGCCCAGCAACTCTCAGATGCTTCAACGCCTCCATTAATCAACCCTCAGAAATGCACACAGTTCCAGCGCCGCCAGCTAAGGAGTCAGGTTTGGAGCATCTGAGAGCAATCAGACAGACACTGCAACTGAGCAAATGAATTAATGAGGCCATTACCCCATTGTATCATCACAGCCATTGACTTAATACTGCATTTACACTTCACCCCCACACTCACTAAGCGGCTTGATAGGCTTCCTTCTGCCTCAAAAACAATTAAGCTGTATACTGCTTTTTCCTTCACAGTGTAGTTTAAAGCAAGAGACAATCCTTGGTCTTGCAGGGTGAAGCGAAGACTCTGCTGCTCTCCATTCAATAGTAATTTTGAGTATTCAGCTGGGTTCTGTGGAAAAAAACAAGCTTGATTACACTCCTTCTTCAGATGAGAAAGGATCTGGCTCTTCCCACCAAGTACAACCCTATCGTCTCTTCAAGGGACACTGGAAAGAAAGGTCAACAGCAGGGATGTCTTCCACAGTGAAGGATCTATGCTGACCTACAGCCTTTGGGCTGGGAAAGCCAGAGCTTGGGGTACCTCCCCTTGCCAGATGCAACCCAGAGGCCAGAGCACACCTCCTGGCCTCACAGCTTCCCTTTCCCCTGGCCCTGCCCTGCCCCAGTGGGACCACATCTGGAACATGGCAGAAAGCTGGTGGCCAATGGATTGCTGGGCTTGTCTAATCTGGGAAGTAAACTGGAAGCTGAAGTAGAAAGCAGATCAGTGCCCATGCCCAGTTAATTGCCCTCCTGTTTGTTTCAGGCTCTGCAAATACTTTTCAGATGCCATCCCAGATCCACTCAGATGTCACCCATTCAGATCCCAGCAGCAGTGCCTGGTCTGAGTGCTGGGAGATGTGAGCTGAATCTATCTACATGCTCATCTGAGGACAATTATCCTTCATTTCTAACTACAGATGAATGTAGTTAGCCATTTCCTCCTTTGCCATGTCTCCAAACTTTCCATTTCTATGTTATCAATGAAGATCATATGTTCCATTTTTCAAAGCTATTCCCACATATTTCCAAGGCAGTGGAGAAGTACAAGCTCCAGTATCTGTGGGCTTCATTAGAAAATACCTGAAAAAAAGCCCACCCTTTCTTCAATGGGATGCAAGTCAGGCCTTCCAGCCACACATACATGCTTACCTGAAAAGATTCCACAGGCTGCTGAAATAGGTCCTGGTCTTGGATTGTCACTTTAACAGGGTTCTTTGCCAAATTCAGGACTCGAATTAAACTTTCTTCTGGGACAAGTCGAGGCATATCCGTTTCCTAATTAAAGTAAAAGGCTTTAAATACTATCTGCATGCTTTATTAGCACTTTAATATCTCTTCATTTTTAGCCATAATAGTCTTCCTCTCTGTAATGACACTTTTCCATCCCTTCCTCATCAGAAGTTGCACCGCGAGAAAAATGATCATAAATCTTATTTAGGGAGGTTTCCTCATAGTAGCTCAATGCCAGCCTATCGTTATTCCAACAACTGCCCTTCACATCAGTAAGCATCCAGGCTACACAACTGCTGGGTAGGGAAGAACAATGTCACTGCTTTCATTATACAGCTCCCTAGTGCCTGGATTTAACCAACTGCCATACCAGAATGGAAAAAAAATAAAAATAAAAGTATGTAGTTTTATAAAGTGGTGACCACAATAATTATTTCCCACTGCAGTCATTGACTGAGAAAATAATTAGGCCAGAAGCTAAGCAGTTTTGAAAATCCCAGTCCAGCTTCATGTCTGTAATTGGTGCTTTCATACCACTTTGCACCATCTTATTTAACAGCCAACTGTATAGTTATTTTTCCTGGACACCCAAGAAAAGGAAGACAATGCCTCTAGCACAGAGGAATCTCTTTCTGTCAGGAATCATTTCCCAGAAAGAGTACTTCAATCAGCATCACCAGTCTTATACTATCAACAGATCTAAATTTTTTCTCTAAAGGTTCTCTTTTTTTCTCACTTTATTTTCAAGGAGCCACCAGGAATATTTGAGCCAATAATTATTTTCTACCTCACCTTATAAGTGGAGTAATGCAGGCGGGTTACTTTGACCCTAACTTGGTGGGATTGCACTTTGAAAGACTGGGCAACCCTGATTTCCCTGTACCCTTACACTGCTCTGGACCAACAGGCTTGTTAATGGCATCCAGCAAATTATTGTGGCTTTTTGCCCACACTACCTACAGCTAAGCCAAGGTGGGACATCCTGTTTCCCTCTTTGCTAAAATTTTAGTGGCCCTCAGGGTAAAATTTCCATGCACAGGATAATCTCTAACCCACCCTGCCTCTGCCCAGAGGAGTCACCCACAGCCAGAGCAGCCCTTCAGTTCTCAACCAGAGCTGCTGGTCCTGGCAAGGAGATAATTCCTTTGCTCATGTAGAGATCAGAAAAAAGACCTGAACCCACCAAGTCTCATTTTAGTAGGAGACTTCTCAGTGGGTTCACCCAAGGAAGCAGGAGATGTTAATCCAGGGCTCTATGCCAGCCACTCTAACAGAATGTTTAGGTATACATGGAAGTTTTAAAAATTAATCCTACAGTAACTTCCATGAGCCAAAGGTCAGCTAAGTCTGCACAAGGCTGGTGACAGGTCAGAAACTTATGGCACAAGCTTGCAGGGGCTAACATCAAATTTACAAGAGATTTGCTGTCAGCTTCTCAGGGAATGCCTGGCAGTCTCCAGTGGCTGTGACTATGGAAGTGACCACATCCAGCTGCCTCACTGGAGAAACAATTTGGCTTGTAAAAAAACTACATCCCCACCCTGAAATAGGAAAGCGATTAAATTAAAAAATAAAACCAACACACACAAACACACAAAACCCCTAAACAGTAAAATACAGGCAAGCTATCATGAGAAATAGGAGAGAGAACAGACTACCTTTTGGAATTAATCACTAGTATTAACTAGATGTCTGTCAAGCACTTTGACGATGGAAATCTAGGATATAGACCAACACAGATGATCAGTACAGCAAAGTGCAAAGACTAGAAAGAGAGACAGAGACAAAGAGAGGGAAAAGCAGACAAAGAATTATTAGCAGCTGGATCAGTATGCTTAATTGTAAAGAACATATTAAACATTGTGACCGAGGAACACAATGGTTAAAAGGAGTATCTAACAGGCATCAATAAAAATAGCCCAGGGAAATAAAGGTTTTTTTGAGGAATCCTTTGTTCTATACTTACATTTATTTTGACTTCTACAATGGCTGCAAGTCCAAATGCCAGCCCTGCAAGGATCATACCTGTTGCCATTTTTCTAATAGGTCTATGGAGCAAATGAAAGAGGTGCCATTAAGGGGGAAAAAAAAAAAAAAAAAAGAATAGAATATAATTCATTAGAGCCAAAGATGTGCCAAAATCATGTAATAAAATATCCAACAGGTGGCACTGGGGATGATATGCTGTTTAAATTGCCAATCACTTAACTTAAAACTATTCTATTATTCTGTATGAGGCCAGCACTGAGGCCAATTCAAACTGTTATGTCATGAAAAAAAGCTCTTTGCTTGCAAGTTTCATATAATCTTGTTCCTAGCTCTTCTACTGGGAATAGGTCATAGCATTGCGTGAAGCTGTGATGCTGAAAGAAGCACTAGATTATATATCTTCAAGTGCCATTTGGGAAAAGCAAAAGAAAAGCATCATGGTAGCAGGACCAAGGAGCAGAAAAGTGAGTAGTTCATGTCATCAGTGTTCCTGACCATCTGTGGCATCATTCTGGGTTATTTCTCATGCCAACACATTCACATTTCTAGAGAATAAAGAGCTTGCTTCTGAACTTGGAGCAAAACTAGTGCAACTCTGGTAGAATTACATGAGACAATCTGATATAAAGCAGAATAAAATAGATCCAGCACAGCAGGTCCAAACTGAGTGACAAATTGTTGAGATTTGAAACAAATCTAATTATAGATTCAGTGGTCTCCACTCTTGGTAGTCGTCTGCATTCACATTCCAAATCAACTGGGCTGTGGCAAATTCAGTGTAGGAACCCGAATTCTGTCTCTCAGTTACATGTCCTGGAATAAGAAAAGTATTTACTGCTTGCATCTTGTAATAACAAAGTGTTTTTGATCTTCAATGCTGCATTGGGATTTTGTAGCATGAACTTCTGCAGTCACACAGGCCAACACCCTGCAGGCTACAATGTTTCCTCAGAAGCTTCTACAGCTGAAGGGGATAGGATCCAGTTAGCATCCAACATCCAAGGGACAGAAACAGCACAGCATTCAGTCCTGATCAGTGCATGAGTTTGTTCTGCTGGGGGTACTAGTCTGTGAGCTGGTCATCAGGCAGGGAGTTTTCTGTCAAGCTGGGGCTTGGTCCAGGATATGGGCTCAGACTGAGGTAGTGTTGAGAAGCAGCTTCTGATGTGTGTCCTCCAAAAGGCATCTCTGCTAGGCGGGGCAGTGTCTTCAATATTTCTTTAAGTGCAAGCAATTTGGCACAAAGGGAGAGGATCAGCAGGTTGAAAGTGTGGGCTTCTGGGGCTCCTTCCATCCCCATTTATGTGGCTTTGTTTATTCAGCACTTGAATTTGGATTAGGAACATGTTTTTTAAGGAAGTCTCCCACTCATCGCTCCTTCACATGCTGAGGTCATGTTGAAAAGTGGTGCTTGTGCAGGGAAATAGTTAACTTCAGTTGAAACTGCACTGACAGAGGCACTCAATGAATGGATATGATACACTCCCACTGCTGAAGTCCACAGAGGCAGACTTCAAATACTCTAAAGTAAAATCACCCAAAATGCATTTAGTGGGTCTCAGAACCAGCCTAGAGGTCTGCTGCTATTGCACTGAACCTCTTGCTAACTTACACAGGGAATAACATCCTTCAGCCATATGGAAAGCCCCTGAATCATTGGTTCAGGCCTTTGTGTGGAATCTGCTTTCACAACACCACATGTAACCCACATGGGACAGTGAATTTGGCCCCACTGGATTGTTTCAGGGAGGAAATTCTTTAGAGGCAATATAGGACATAAGGTGCAGAACATGTTGATCAAACTCAAAGAGGAACTGTTCATATCTGTTCTCAGGGAAAATCTGTAGAGAACAGAATCAAACATTACTGAATTTTACTCTCTGAAATTTCATGAGCCTATGGAAGAGGGTGATGCTGCCAACCAGGGAAACAGATGCAAGTACTGAGAAGAGTGAATGGAAATTTGTGCTCCTCCTTCTTAAAAGCTATTCTGCAAAAGGAAAAGCACTGAGGCATCTGCATTGTCCCCAAGTACTTACGTGAAATTAAATTTGCACATGTTTATCAGAGGGTAGAGCCCAAGGTCAAAAAGTGGGATGAAGACAAGAATAAGGAGTGGATTTAAGAACTGCAATACAAAAGAATGGGAGTTTAGTGACTAGAAAGCAACTTTCAGTAATTAAACTCATAAAGCACTGTCCTCCAGAAATAATTTCATTACAGAAAGGACATGAACAAACACTTAAAAACCTCCTTCTAAAATATAATCATAGTTTGCACTTCGACAGCTTCTGCTATTTAGTTTTCACAGGCATAAATACATTTTGTTCATATCCTTCCCTCCAAGACGTAAGCAAGCATCACTGGCCCAATTTCCCTGAAGAGGGAACTGAAGCAGTATGTTTTTAATGAGTACAAAACCCACTGACAATAGATTCAGGTGACCTTCAGGGCTGTGGTGGGATGTTACAACAAACCAGCAATAATGGAAACACCTTGGGACTTCAGCAAAATCCTAGAGGAACAGACACTATTCTGTGAGACCGGCAATTTCTCACACTCCCACACAGCTTCCTAATCCCCCAGGAACTATGTTTCTCCTGGGAAGGCCAGAGTTTGTCTGCCAGCCAGCAGTGGCAGAGCAAGAAAATAGAGAATGATGGAGAACAAGCAGAGAGAGATACTGTATCAGTTTCAAAGGAAGATTTCAGGGAACAGGACAGCTTTGAATTTCTCCAGAGCTGTTCAGTGTTAGAATTGTAGATATCATGGCACTGTCTTGGAGCCTTCCCACTTCAATATGCCCTGCAGGAAGGGAGGAAGGAAGTATGTTTCAGGTATAATACTCATCTCAGTGCAGGGCACGTTTAAAGACGACACAGCCTGTATCGTCCATGCGCCAGCACTAGCTCGAGAACTGTCTCCCCACACCTCTGCACTATTCTGCAGGATTCAACCTCCTTGTTAGGACATACTCGGGCTCTATCTGAACCCCAAGACTAAGCTTGCAAACCAGATAGTCAGCAATAAGGTAGAGTCCATACCACAGGAGTCAGCAGAAGCACTGCTCCTGCCTTCAAAAGGAGCAGAGAAAGGCTGCTAGTCACGTGAGAAAAATAAAAATGAGAGAGAAAAGAAAAATACATTTCTAAGGGTTATTTGCTACCACGTAGTATCTTTTACCTGCATTTGGTCAGGCTGAAGGACATATATTCCCTGAAACAAGAAGATAATTCAAGTGATTCATAAATGCAATATTATAGCAGTGCATATGGCAAGTAAGCAACCAATTCAAGTAGAGGCCTGTCCTGGTTTGAACCAGGATAAAGCCCATTTTCTCTTTACTGATTTTTTTTTCCCTCAGTGAGCTCTCTTTTAAGTAGCTGCAAGTTTTCCAGACAGTGGACTCATAACACTCGAATGTTTATGTTACTGCCAAGAGACCAAGGACATTTTGCTCTGCTTTGGATACTAAAGGAGCAGAAGAGTCATATCTGCAACCCTCCCATAAGGAGGAGCAGACTAGACAGATGGCAAACCTGGCCAAGGAGAGTATTCCATCCCTTAATATCTACGTAGCTTTCACTGTAAAGTTAGGGATCACAGAAGTTAAGCCTCTTTCCTGCTTCTTCTGCCGTTTTCTTCCATTCTTGGCTGGTGCCCAGGAAGGACTCCATCTCTCCATAACCATCAACCCCCAGGCCTGTGCACTCCTGACCCTCACAACTCTGCCCTTAGCTCCTGTCTGCTCTGCTGCTCTCTCTAACAACTCCAGGACTTTTGGGACTGTTCACAGCTCAGGAGATGCCGTGGGAGTTTCTGGTGGTGGGGGGAGGCAATAGAGTTTTGCACATTCCTGAACACATCTGTATATAATTGTGTATATTTATTTTATCATTAGTGTTTAATTAAAGCTGTCTAGTTTTCCATCTGGAAAGTGTCTCTCCTAATTGTCTCTCCTTCCCTACCTGGGTGGGAGGGGATTAAGAGCATTGTTGTTACTGGTTTAATTGCCAATCCTGAGTCAAACCATGACAAGGCCTTAGCAGCAAAGGTGGTTTCCTCAAAAGCTTTGTGTTGGCTTTAGCAGCTGATATTGTGCACTCACACTTCCCATCTAAAGACACAGTGGTTTAATGAGAATTGTTTTGCAGAAAGAAGCTGCACTCAGTCCTTGATACCCAGCAGTGGGAACACAGCCTGTGACAGGTACTGAGGTCCATCTGTCTGACTGGCTGAGCGGGGAGGAATGGGAGCATTAGAGCTCCCACTAGGATTTGGACTTAGACTTTCCTCCTTTCCTGCTTCTGTAATGGGAAAAGCCCAAATCCTATGAGTGAGTGTTCTCAAGCTTCAGAACCCCTGAAGCTCCACTGGCATTTCTCCCAAGCAGCCCAGACAGATAACAAAAAAGCATTCCTAAGTCAGTGGGCTGCACAAACACCTCTTTCCTCCCTCCATCTGCCCAGGGCAAACAGGCTTTGGTCAACTTCTTAGTTTGAGCCAAGAGTCCTCAAAAAGCTGTAAGAGGTGACTCAGCCTCACATCACTGTACCCAGCCCTCCCAAGGTCAACAGGGATGGACAGAGGGATCCCAGTCCCCAGAAGGAACACATGAGCTGTCTCGAGGCAGGGGCTGATGTTTGTCTGAGTTGCAATCAATGATCTTTGTTTGAAATTAAGATAAAGAGAAGAGGTGAGAAAATAAGGAAGGAAATAGTATCTTTCTAAGAAAGCATTGTGGGGATTTGTCTCCTCTCTGCCAGGCTTGTCCTGAGCTGTTCCAGAGTCATTCCCTGCTCAACTCCAGACTTCCTAGCTGAGCCCTTTGTCTGCAGAAGGGAAAGTCAGAGAATACTATAAATGTGAACACCAACAAGCTTAACAGTGGGATCACTGCAATGTTGCAGTTAATTCTCACCTTCTTGAGTTGGGACTGAAACACAAGCCAAAAAGCTATCCAAGCTGATGTGACAAAGAAGCCCTGAATATGTCATCCTTCACCAGGGAAAGTTTAATAAGTGACACACCTGATGGTTCTTAGATCTTCTGCTAAAGAATCACTAAACACGTGAACAAAACAGCAGAAAACAAAGGACTTGGATATACATCACAAAAGCTGCATGAACAGTGACATAAAAGGGCTGAAATTTTGGGCTTTTGATTTTGAGCCAGAAAACGGACACTTACAATCTTAGATTCTGATGTGAGCATCCACAGGTAAGATGCAGATGGCCTGTTAAAACATGTGTGTCTGGAAAACCTGTATGGTGGCATCTCAAGGCAGGTAAATGTGGAACAGCTATCTGACATTGCACCCTCCACCATTTGCCATTCACATCTTTGAAGAACTCTATGGCTACTAATTAATCTTTGTCACATCTTTACCCCATACACAAGACTCCTGCTGGTTTGAGAGGCTTCATTGATGTAACAGCAGGTTAGCCAGAGCAGACATATGCAAGTACAATAGCTCTAATTACACCTTATTAGGGCTGTGTGAACTTTCCATGACTTCTCCATCTTCAGGGGGGCAGCAGGCTGTGAACCCTACCTGCTTAAGGTCACAGAATGACCAGTTGTCATTAGGTCAGCACTCCTGACCTTACAAGGCTGTTGATGGCTCCCCAGCCCTCGTTCCTTGCCAAGATGTGCTATGATGAACTGAATATGGCTGCACAGAGCCCCTCACTTCTAATCACCAAAAGTGCAACTCACCCAGATTCATCAAGCAGATGCTCTTAGTACTGCGAGACTCCGGTTAAAAAGCAAGAGCAGTGATGTTACTACTAGTCTTACCAGCCCTGGTGACATTAAGTACTTACAAAATCAGCATTCATTTTTGTGGCTTGCAAAGTCCACCTGGATCCCTAAGAAGAAAAGAGACATCTGTGAAGCCTTCAAGATGCCCAATGGGACTAGAAAACATGAGGACAGACAGAAAGACAATGCTGGAGGTCTTATTTCCCATCTATTCCTTCCCTTGTAATCCCTGTCAGTAGGCAGGGTAAATTCTTCCTCTTACCCTCCTGTGCCAGACACCTGGCAGGACTGCAAAGGGAGAGCCAGCAGGGATGGTAGGTTCTGCTTTAGCAAGCCCTTGGACACCTGGTGGGAGCTTGGCACTCAATGTCCCCAGGATGCTTTAGTGTTACCTTGGAAGGAAAAGGGTGCAAACCCAGGCCATCAGGCAGATCTGCACCACACAGTACTGTACCTGCTGATCAAACAGGGCCCAGAACATTGGCAGTGGTATGAAGAGGAAGAGAACACGTGTCACCATTTTAACCTCCCCAATCAGCTGTTTCTATAAAGAGAAGAGGCAAAAAGGTAAGATGGGTTTAAAAACCAACAGGTGATTAAAGCCATAAAGCAGGAAGAGCTCCTGTTTCTTTCTGCATGCCAGTTATTCATTGCACTTAGTTGTGATATGGGACAAACGGGCATCTCTGCATTTCAGTGCAGCACCTAAACTGTCCATTAAGGGTCAGGAGAGCACAGATACAGGAAGGGACAAATGAGCCTGGTGCATGTGAGGAATGGTGTGGTCCAGCCAGTATTACTGTCTCCCCTGTCTGCCATTCTCTCCCCTTCCCCTCCAAACCTGCCAAATAGAGCATCACTTACTGAGTATTTTTCTGACGCCCAGTCCAGCCAGTGATCTCTCTTTGGAATCTGACGGGAGCGGTTTTGCAGCCGGTTTTTAATAGCAAACTAGGGAGAAAAGCAGGTGAGTAACTCCCTCGTGGTATGTGTGCCCTTGTCATGTTCTCAACCCCAGGCTGCCCTCCCCACCTTCAGATGTAAGCAGTGCCAGAAAAAACTGTGAGGGTTATGCTGGACACTTCTAGAATCTTGGATTGGATGTTTTATGACCAATTGTCTGCAGGAAAGTTTGTGGCGTTGGTTGATTAAAGGCATGATGTGGCAATGAACCTCTTGGGCTTCTCTTTCAGAGACAAATCTGACACCAGCTCCCAAAGATTGTTTCATGCTTGATTAAACCTGCTACATGATAAAGCCTTAAACATAATTTCTTCAGGTCTCTGCCAAAAAACACCTGTTGCATTGCCTGTTGTGCTGGGGAGGAAATGCCTCATTATCCAAAGCAATGTCAAAAACAGAACTCTCCCTCCCTTCTTGTTCTGTAGACTTTTCTTTATATATTCCTGGCACAGCCCATGTCTCATTCACTCCTAAACCAGCTTTCAAGCCCTTTTCTCACTGAAGGATAAATCAGTGACACCAAGTTCATATCTTCTTTGTTTACTCTGTATGCTCCAGCCACTGAACACAGCCAGCCCAGCAAAAAGAGCAGCAGGCCTCAATTAGAAACCCTGTTTTTAAAGTCTGGCCTGTTTCCCCAAGGTGAATCTGTCACTAGGATTGACCTAGGCAAAAAGAAAACAAGTTAGCAAGAGCTGTTCGAAAGATAAGCATCATTATCCACTTAATAAAAGTATATTTTTTCACATGCTATATTCCTGTCACACACTACAAAACAATTGATAAGAGTGTAATGCAACTTCAGCAGGTGTCTCTTGCATTTACATGAACATGCTGAATGTGCAAAATATGAACGTGTGCTATTACTGTCTGCTGAACTGATAAACTCCAGTAAAATTGTTCAGCTGAAAAACAATTGAGTTGTATCTGAGTTTCTGGATTTTTCTTTCAGTACAGCCTCCACTAGCACCTACTACTAGTGCTTCTTCTGATATCAACTAAACAGTTCATGGAGCTATGGAAAAAGTATTGTAAAGCTGAAAGATTAAGACCTACAGGAATTTCTTATTTGTTACAGCTTATGAGCAAGATGTCCAGGAGCAGCATACAGAACTCCAAATGTCACCTCCCCTTTCCCTTTCCACTTTGCTGACCTGCAACCTCAGAGTCATGCATGAAAAAGAGAAGGTCACACACTTACACCGATGCATTTGCACACTTCAAGTAAGACGTTCCCTTGTGGTGGAGTCTTTCTGTACAGTCCACTTCCAGCAATGAACACCACTGAAAAATATTATAATCCAAGTGGGAATTGCCATGACTAAGGCTCAACTCTGCACTGGCTGCCAGAAAGGATCTCCCACCCCCTTTATTAAACAGCAATCCTCTGCCTTTAGAGCCTACAGGATTGCACTGTTAACACAATAAATATACAGGACTCCTTTAATGCCTTCAGATGGAAGAAAAAGCAACATCCTACAAAAGGCAGTGTGACCTCTATGAAGTCACTCTCATCTTCTCATAATCTGCTCAGGCACAAAAGGCACCTCCACATCTGATTAACACTGGGGATTAAATCTTTGAAAACTCCCCCCATCTGTGCTTTTTGGGAGCTAAACTTCACATGCAACCCACATTGAATTGCTTCACCTGATGTTGGAAAATCAGCCCTGAGTCATTGCAAACATGTGAGGAGTAATTCAGACCCAAAGTGGTCTCTGCACTCTTGCTTCTCACACACATTTCAATAGAAACTGCCATGAAGGTCACTACATCATATTCTAGTGTTAACAGAATTTGCCTCCATTTATGGTTTCCACAAAGGGATGCACTATTTAAGATACTGTCTTGGTTTTCTTTCTCAAAGCACAAAGAATATTAGACCCAGGCTTCAAAACCTTGTCAAAGAGGGGAATACCTGATTATAATTTTTCCTGCTCTTTGAGAACCTCTGAGCACACTGCAATTCCAAATATTTTATCAGAAACAAGCATCATAAAAGCTGAGCATGGAATCCATATAACCAACCAACCTCCACATTTTAAACTAACCCAATTGTCTGGGTCAGTCCACAGCCAGTGGAGAGAAGCAGGCATCTCTGTCCTAACACAGGAGGCCTGGAACATTGCAGGGAACTCACTATCTCTCTTTTTTGACTATGAAGATCCTTGCATCCAAGTTTTGACTTGCAGACCTGTCAGAGAGACCTCTGAAATCTGTTTAGGTGAGTCACAGTGGAAGACACTTGTTAAAAGTCACCTAGAGTGGGTAGTTGTGCTACCTAATTTTTAGCAACACCCTGCAGACCTGTTGGTGCTTCTAAAAGGTGATTAATTTGGTTTGCTGAAATACCTTTTGGTGACATCATTAACTCCTTTGGGAACTGAGGCTCCTGCTTTATGTTTGGCTTTTGAAATTATATCTCAAAACCTGAAGCAGCCCAGAAAATCTTGCTCTATAAAATCTCAATTATGCCTCTAAATCTATCCTTCCTTCCCATCAGCACATGGACAGGGCCAGTCAGAGCTGAAAGGGTATTTTCTCCAGTTCTGCATGCTACTCACACAGTCAGATACATCACTTGCAAGAGCATTTTAGTGTGTTACAAAAGAACACAGAGCTGCTGTGTTGGGCAGGCCATGGAATCTGGCAGTAGGATATAAGCTGAAAACTTGATTGATGCCCTCACCAAAACTGCAATATTTACATGTCCTTTTTTCCCTTGGGCAACTACTACCCTGCTAGAAACATTCAAACAATGGGTGCACAGAGGAGCCTGTGCTGTCTTAAACTGATAGGAACAGGCCCCAAGGAGAAAGGAAAACTTCAGACCATGCCCTTTTTTGAAAATAATTGCTCTAACATTAGCTGTGGCCTGACGACATTTCTCTAGTGTCCTGATTCTTCTTCCTTCTGATGCAAGTTTGAGGGGAAGAGCCATATTCACATTCTCTGAGGGATGAACTTTTCAGATCACAGATGCTGTGGTGAAATCACACAGTTCCTTGGTCTCTCAATTAAGCTAACGAGCTGAATGAGAAGTCACCCCATGCTGTGTCAAAGCCTCTCAAATGCAGTGTAATAAGGAGACTGCTCCCCTCTAGCAGCTTGCAGCTGTGAAACTAAAGTTAATGGGGTGTCCTCTCTATTGGCTACCGAGGAGTAAGAGTAAGAATGTGGAAAGTGCAGAGTATTTTATAAGTGCTGAAAAATAAATCTTGACAAGTACATTAATGGGACTAAGACACAAGCTTTAGGAAGTAGGGTGATTGCAGCTGCCTCTTGACACTTGGACAATAAGGGCTTTTTATTGCAACATAATAATAAACTGTCACTGTAATTGTGGGAATTACTTCAGACAAGCGAAGTGAGAGCTCAGAGTAAAGTAACATCTCTTTCAGCTCCTGCTGCTGTTTCTGTGTGATGCACAGATTCTGAAGCAAAAGTCTAAGCCATTGAAGATGGCCCCAAGCTGCAAAGAGCCTGTGGAAAGGTTAGAAGTGTCATGTTAAGCTTCTCTTCCATAAGCAGGGCAACTCTGAGGACTGCTTAGATTGCAGTTCAAAGGCAAAACCTGTTCATAGGCAAAGCTGAAAGCCATCAGGAGAACCCTTTAAGTGCCTCCCTTTACTGTATCAAACAAGGCAATTATGAAACATCCATGAGACCACCCCCTCATCAGTATCATAAAGGACTGCAGTAAAACAATGGCCTGCCCAGCTTCATGTGAACTAGTGATTTTTCTTGTTCTGAACAGTGGAATTGTTGGATAAATTTAAACTCCTGAGTTTTCCATTGCAGTATCCATCCAGAGCTGGGGATTTTGTGTGTTTTCTCATCTATCCATAGACTCGAAAATGGTAACTCCTATTACAAGCATTATTGTTTCCACTCACCAAGGGCCAACACCATCAGTGCTGCTGGGACACCAAAAGCTAATGCATAACAATCCTCTCCAAAACATTTCACGTCCCCTGAAAAAGAAGTCAGAAAAAAAAGCACCTCATTACAGTCAGACTTATGTTACTGGGGCCTTTGATTTGCTTCTCCTAAATCAGTCACTTCCCCTGGCTTTAAATCATCTCTGGTGCTTGACACTGTGAATTGAATCACCTTGGAACAGTTGTCCTCCCTTGTTGAAGACAATTGGGAAGCAGGGTTGGTGCCTGCCAGCAAAAGCAGTTGATAATGGGATATTGATAAGAAAGGTAGAAGGGAGGAGACAGACCAGTAGATAGAAAGAATTGGCATGAACAGTATTTGGGGAAAAAACTTAAAACATTCAAAACAACTTGAAACCATTCTATATTTGCCTAGGTCTAAATAACCAGTACTGTGTTTCAACATTATTTTTGCCAGCTGTAGGAGTTACTGAGCTAAAAACCTGAACCTGATTTCATAGCTACCTACAATGGATAAAGTGGAAGTCAATAACCCTACTAAATAAGTGGGAGCACAGGATTAGCATTAACATTCCACTTTCCCTTCTCAGCACCTTCCCAATTCCCACTAGGGGCAGCCTGCTCCAAATGTCAGCTCTTGCAATAACCCGTCAGGAAGCCAAGTTTGTTACAGCATGACCTTGATTGATCTGAGCTACATTTCACTGAAATCCTTTGCCTCTTTGACCAGGTCAGTTCTCACACCACAGGAATTTGGAATTCCAGTTGCAAAAAGCAAGCCAGCAAAGGGGTCTGTATTTGTTTGCCAGTAGCTACAAATTACCATGTTCTTACATGGAGCAGTAACAAATGGCTAAAATAAACCAACACAGTCAACAGCAAACAAATCCATGAAGCCTTCAGTTGTTCCTGGGCAGTCACAGTCATCTACATCGCTGTGTGCATGCGTAGCATTTATTTTCAGCAAATTATCTGAAATCCAACTAAACTGAAAGTAAGACATTATGGGCGCACTGAACTTCTGACATGCAAAATTAATTGGATTTCTCCACCTACAACTATAAATTCCATGTTTCTGCCAAACATCTATGAGCTGCACTTCTTGCCCTTCCAAGAAATCTTTCACACTTCACAGAAATTTTACTCTTTCACCATTTTCTCCACCTCATTTCAATGTCACAACTAGTTTATTTCTAGGCTGTATTGGCACAGGCTTTGATATTCAGAGGGGACTGAATTTTCATCTGCCCACCTGGGGACACCAGTGAGATAGAGCACAAGAGACAGTATTTGTCTTTTCTTGTACACATGTGTAAACAGGAGACAAGCACAATTGCCCAGAGCCTTGTGAAATGAACGTCCTGTCAAAATAACCACTGAACAAAAAGGTTCCTATAGGCCATGGGGCAGAACTTAAAAAATTGCTACAAAATTTGAAGGCTACCTTGTCCCTGTCCCCATTACCCATGGCCTGCTGCTCTGCCTCTCTCTCTGTATTTAGAGCATGCCAACCCCTTTGGCTTCTAGGCCCTGTGATACAATGAAGTAAGTGCAGCAAGACTCTGGGACTAAAAAAGCACCGTGCAAGCTGGCCAGAATGTAAAGTAGGTCTTAAGTGGGGCATAGGCCTGTGCTTTGTCTTCAAGGCTAGTTGCTCAGGGCTGCAATCTTGCAAGCAGACCCACACAGACGTGCCTGCTTGCCAGGACAGAGCCCTCCAGAAGGCAGCAGCACCTTGTAGAAGGGAGAAAGTAGGACTTAAAAACGGGCCCTACTAAGTTTTTTGGCCTTGACAGCTGCACGTGACAGCAGAGATCAGTTCCCATCCAGAAGTTACCTGCAGGGAAGATGGAGGAATAATCCTTCAAGGGCAGTAGGGAGGATTAGATGACCATATAGGTCCTTCCACCTTTCATATTTTAATTCTGCAGTTCAGGCTAGCTTTGAAATACTACAAGGAATATAGTTTCTGTGGCTTGTCTGCTAGTGCTATAAATCTGTTATGCTGCTACAGCAGGATTAACCAGGCATAAATGGCCACTCCACAGATAATATAATTTCTGCCATTCAGTTGTCATAAGAGCCCAACTATGCAGAGCAGAGCAGTCAGAGGGCAGCTAATTTATTGTCTTATTCTAAATCAACACTGACCTCTTAATACAGGAGTTACAAACGTGGATATCAAGCTTCCAGCATTAATGGATAAATAGAAGATGGAAAAAAACTTGCTTCTCTCCGAGGTCTAAAACAAGAGAAGACAATATCAATGTCACAGCTAACACACAGCATTGGGCTTGCAAATTGAACACTATCAATTCTTTTGTTAGGAAGGCTGGGTAAATATTTACACACAGTGCATGAAATGTTAAGCAAACAAGCTTGCATCCAGGTGATGGTAAATGCTCATAAAAATATCAGCTCACGTTGCTTGAGAAGTGCTCTGGGGTTCTTTGGCATTTCAGAGGAAAAGCCACTGCTTTGAGTGTTTCAAGACTGGAAGGAGTGGAGAGCATTTATTTATTCAGAACAAGCAGTATGATTCAGATCCTCTGTCACCTAATTCAATCCAATTTGGCACCATTTGACAAGCTCATCATTTCTCCCCATGTCTGAGCTCTTTTTTTCCCCCTCCTCTGCTGTGTAGAAATAGAGAAAGAAACCTGTGTACTTTGAGGAGCTGGTAATTACAGCATAGATGAGAGAGTATCAGCAAATGAGGAGTATCCATCAGGCAGGATATTACCAAACTACAGCCAGTCAACCTCAAACTAACAGGTTAAGTTAAATCTACAGTAACAAATTCAAGAGCCTGATGGAGGGATAAACTCTAAGAGTTCAGAATTTAACTAACGTTGTAACATACAATTCATACAGTCAAAGGATTTCTGTTGATCTTCTTTCTTCCTCTATAATCCATCATTTGGAAGGAATCAAGAGCTTGATGCAGAGTTTGGTCCTTTTTGCAGGAGTAATGTGTGAAGGCATTAAACCGAGACCAGTCACTCCTTGCCTGGAGGCAGATGTACAGCATGGCCAAACCCAGAGTTCAACCCCTCCCTGTGCCTGTGTGGGCCTGAAGAGTGGAAAAAAAAGAGCAGGCTACTTGACCCACCCCATGCTCATCTGTATCACCAGCTATGGGACACATGAGTCAGTGAAACAAGCATTTAAGGACAGTCCAAGCCCAGGTAGCCAATATACTCCATGTGCATCTAGACTTCACCCACAGCTGTCACCAGCTCCTGCAAAGATAGTGGAAAAATTGCTTGGGACATTACTAGGCACTTGGCAGACAGCTCCCTAGAGCACCTTGAGACACATCTCTGTGACCTACAGATCATTTGAATACAAAACTTAGTGTAAGGAAGCTCCTGGTTCTGGTCCCTCTCTTTCCACTATGTTCTGCTTCTTTCCATTCTCTAAGACAAAAATATTCACAAGACTTGAAAACATGAGAAAATGTGAAGAATTGCAGGCAGCTCAAAGAGGACAGCTCTTCAGAAATGAAGCCTAGGATCCAAAAATATAACAACTTCCCATGACTGATGTTGCAGCTAACAGAAAACATTGCTACTTCACATGGCAAGAAGCTTTTTATCACAGAAGACTACTGCAGGGAAAGTGGCCAAGTGGGAGGGCTTTGCTTTATATCCCCTTAGGAAGCTGGCATTGTGAAGGTGAGAGCCCCATCACCTCCCACTTACACCCACCAAGGAACCTGGGGGTCCCCTCACTTGGATTAAAGGCTTTTTGCCATGCCACACCACAGTTCTGATGACTCCATCAACTTGAGCTTTTTCTCCCACATTTTTATTTCCCAGTGTGTTCCAGGCAATCTAATCCATACCTAACCTGTGGATGATTTACCCTGGATTAAAGAATTCATAAGCCTTATAATAATCATCTCTATAGCATGATCTCATGGTTAATAGCAAACAGCACTGGGTCTTATTGCCTCTTATACTCCATTCCTGTCCTTACCAGTGTTTTTTATTACCTGGAACTTTCTACTACTAACCTAAAAAAGTGTATTTTCTTCTTCGTTCTATCTTTGTGACCAGTAATTTGTCATCATAAGGAAATCTACGGAAATGAGCAGCCTCAGCAATCTCTCCTGCTCCCAGAGTAGCCCTGCTATGGTTTAGCCCTGTCCTTTTCTAGTACATTTTCGTGAGCAACTCAGAATTTCTAAGAGCTGAGGAAAACCAAAGCCTGCAGCTCTCAACATAAAATCTAGACCAGCAATTACCAAAAGGAATGTACTGGTCAGACAAGAAGGTATTGACACAAATAATTTGGAGCATCTTATTTCATGCATTTTCAGATGTTAGTGATGGATAAATGGTCAGAGAAAAGCAGAAGTGAGTACAAAAATGACCCAACATTTCATAAACTAGACTGATCAGAAAAAAGAATTCCCACCCTATTTTCTTAATCTTTGGAGCAGACACATTAGCAACATGATTTGGATTAGCTAATTTGAGAAGAGGTACCATACACCATAATCCTGATCTCCTTGGCAACCAGAAAATAAAGAAAGAGAAAGCTATTTAGTACCTTAAACACCACACCACAATGTTTGAAAGCAGCTTTGGCCCTTAATGAATATGCACAGCAGCCTTCACATTCATGTAACATATTGTAAAGATTTTTTTTCAGGCATGGACTCAATCCCATAGACAAAGATGCCTGGAAATCCCCTGCATTCCTCTTTCCTTATCTGACCTCTTGCTAAAACAACCTCCATCACTGTCTGTAGTACTGTTCTCAAAGTGGCAGATCCAAGACTATTACACTGATGAGGTACTTAAAAGAAAACCAGACCAATGGTGTGCATTTACTTCAAAACAGATTTTTCTCTACATGGTAAAAAGCAGAGCAATTTAGTTATTCATTTTATATGCAGAACTACCAGTTTCTAGAAACTACTAGTTTCCAGATGGAAAAATTAAGCCTGTGCACTTAAGGGCTCAGCTGAAATTTATTGGTATCCTGAAAACTTCATTTCATTGGGAATTTTCAAAACTTATTTCATCCTAACTGGAGTAGAAAACAGAAAAGAGGGTAAATCCTCTCTAACACTACTCCAGAGGGAATAAATATTCTGGTCAGCACCAAGTTTTTAATTCCTTATAAAATCAAAACTTCTCATTCCGGTTTTAAAGACTTATACTTCCCATCACATAAAATAAATCCTTTTTTTCCTTCTGAAAGGCCAAGTAATTTCAAAATGGTAAAATACAAAACTTTATATTCTGAAAAGAATGAATAGAACAGAATGCATTGTCTTTATCAGAAGGCTTTTTACAGTTTTCTTTCTCTAAATTAGTTTTTCTTGAATGGAACAGACAGGTGAATATTTGAGCCTTGGTATATGACAGATTTTCTGGTGAAGTGCAGTCTGAATGCTGAAGAATGGACACTTGCCCACAGAACCACCAGCAATTCAGTTTTCCCTCTAACCCAGTTGTGGTTGTAAGTTTGGGAAAAGAATATCTATGTGCCTGAGTGGGGTGCTGAGACTCATTAGCTGAAGTCTATAAAACACTCTAGAGATAAGTGGTACATATCATACTGTAATTAGGTGGTAATTGAAAGATGCTGGATAAACATTATTAATCATTAATATTCGTAGAAGTAGCACTTCCGAAAACACTGCTGTGACACATATTAGAATAATTTTGAAGCAACTGTTGGCACTGCAAGGTGGGATGCCCACATGCTAGCAACACAGGCAGTGTTTTTCCAGGGCACGTGTGCTGTGCTGCCAGCCTGCCTTTGGTCAGAGCTGTGCCAGCTGGGGAGAATGGTGAACAGCAAATGGTTGCTGCTTCCTCTTCTGCAGCATGCTCTGAAGCACCAGGTCCAACTGGCAGCACAAGATGGACATGCCCGCAGAAGGATCTGCTCTGAACAAGTGACCATGAAACACCCTGTGTTGTGTTACTCCTTAGTCACACCATAAGCTTCATCACTTCAGCATCACACAATTCATGTGCAGAAATCACAAGTCTCCACAAAATTAAAAAACAGGCATTCTAGTCTGTATTATGCATTCATTAAATGCTGACTATATGCTGAAGCACTGCAAAAGACAAACAGCAAACTGCCCTATGGGGCTTCCATCCCTTGTCCAAGGCCAAGGAACCATCTCTGGTCCAATTCTAGCAAGGCCTTTCCTGACAAACCATTAGTCTAATGGTCTAATTCTTCAATGCCTCCATTGATGGGAATCTTCAGTTCCTAAATAACCTAATATTTTCCAGTGCTTCTCTACATTTATTTCTGGAAGATTTTTTCCTACTCTCAGTCCTAAGAAATGCTCCTTGAACTTAAGCTTGCTCATCACAGATTCCAACTCTTTTCTTTCTTGTAGTAATTTCCTGCTACATATTTGAGGACTTACACCATGCACAGAAGTTGCTGATTTGAATACTTCCATTGAGAAAAATGATTGTTTTGTGTGTTAGGTGACCATAAGTTTAAGTGTTATGTTTCAGATTAATTTGGAAATTGTGCATTTTGCCTGAAGATTAGTACTCCCTGACCTGCTTTGCTTCTTTGGGAACTACCTTATCCCTGGTTGAGCCACTGTGCTGCATAACAGGAGCTTGAGATTAGTGCAGGTGAGGGTCTAAGCATTCATGATGGAGAATAAGGGCACAAAGCAACTGAACTACAATTCACAGGATGCAGAGAACAAATGAAGCTAAACAGCAACATTGTCCCAAAGCTTCAAAACTTTCCATTCTGGAATAGCTAGAAAACATTCTGCATAGATATGGTACCAGGACTACTTTCAAAAGACTGGGACTTTCTGCAGTTCTTTCTGAACAACATCCATGACACAGATTATGACTGGCATAAGGGGAAAATCCCAAAGAAGCATGTGCTGGTGATACAATTTTCTCTTTTATTTGGTGTATTTCATTGCAGAGCATGATTAACCTGTTAACCTCATTCAGAAATGGCAACAGTACCATAACACAGGATTTTCCAACTACTCTGATGCCAAATTAACTTTTATGACTTTATATGCAATTATGATCTATCTTTCCAGATATTAATCCTGTTCTGCTGTCAGCCTCCTTTCCTGAAGAACCCAGATTCTCTCCAGTTTCATGCAAACCATCCTGCCTCACATCTTACTACATCTTCTAGCAAACCACCCTTTATTGTAGTACAACAGGATTTCATCACAAACATCCTCATAAAGTAAGCAGACACTGCTGAGTTTAGGAAAAAAAAGAAATCTTACATGTTCCTCTTCAAACTGGTCCCCACCAAATGCAGAGACACAGGGCTTGATCCCTCCCGTTCCAAGGGCGATCAAAAACAGACCAACCATAGACAGGATCCTTCATGCAAGAACAAAAATATCACCATTGCAGAACTTTTCAGTGCTAATGCGAGCATTTTACTGTCACCCCATCATGATTCCTCTGGTATCATTGTCTTTTGCACACAGCTAGTGATGAGCCAGGTAAGCATGAAAAACAAATTAATTATCCTAATTTCTGCCTTCAGTACCAGTCAATTAAGCAAACTGCTTTTGTCAGTTTCTTGCTGTTCTGAGGCCCAATGGAGATGCTAGAGATCAAAGATCTATGGGATTATTTTTCACTCATATGAGAACAAAAGATTGCAGAGACCAGTTGGGAAAAACAAAAATGAAAAAAAGAAAATAAAAAAACCTTTTCCTGTAGTCCTCCAGCCTGGGCAAGCACAGAGAAAGCGTTTGAATTAGGGTCATTCTTGGGTCCTTTCTACTCCCCAGTGCTCCTCAAAATGTCCATAGGAAACAGGAGTGTCAGGACTGGGCAGGTCTCAGACAAAATGAAACTGTTCTGTAAATGAGATGTGCTCCTGCCTGAACATGCATATTTTTAGAGCTGTGACCACCTAGGCAAAAATAGCTGAGTGGTTTCAGAGATGCCAGCTGGGGAACTACTCTGCAAACTACCAGCTCAGAACCTAGAAGGCAAGAAAGGCTGTACCCTGTGGAAGAGAAACCCTTTCTCTGTCACTTCAGAAAATGTATCTTTGGTTTTGTCTTCCTAAGCACACAGGGGGACCTTGCTGAGCTTGGCAGCTATGCTGCTAAGGAAATGAAGGAAGGATGAGCCTGGTGCAGACAGCTGGATGGAGGACACGAAAACTCCAGTTGCATGGCATAGCAGAGTAAGGGTGATCAGAGCTCCCTGAATCAAGGGGCTTAGACTCCATGGTGGTTTCTAGCTCCTGGTGCCTTCACTCTAGATCTGCTCTTCTGTTCTCACTCAGATATCCCAAACCCTTCCCTAAAGAAGACAACCCATACATAGCTCCCAAACTGCTGGCCTGATAGAGGTGAAACAAATGACAGTCCTGGGTAAACCAGCTACCATCACAACCTCCTGCAGTGCTGCAGCTTCAACAGCTACTTACACATGAACCGTCTGGTTGCCTAGGGATGGAATTGCACCGACTGACTTTATCAGATGGCCAATCACATACACAATGGAGAGGTAGATGATCGTCCTGTGAGAAAAGCAAAGAGCAGTGACTGAGGGTGCTGGGTGGATGTACAATCCGAAAACAAGAGTGTGCCCATGCTTCCTGATATGCCAGGTCTACTTGGCAGGCACACAAGGAACTGGCTTGTTCGTACCACTGTCACAGCAGGCAGCCATAACTCTTTCGTGTCAGCACTGGAGGATAGAGGTAGGCATACAGTTTCAGATTAAAAACGGGTAGTCCCTGCTTTCACTTTAGAGGTTGCTGAGCAGAATAAACCAAAAACATTCCAGTCTTCTTATGCATGGAAGGCAGCAAATAGAAGAGTACTGTCCAGGTCCAACTCAGTTTTCAGATTACTAATAACTGACATTTGTAGCATGTGCCTAAGTGAGTCCCTTGACTGGAAGGCAGCTATAGGGACTGTTGCCTACATTTAATCCACTTAACAGGTCTGAAGTAGGAGTGCAATTTCCTGATTACAAGTCTGTTTTAGATCCCAAGTACCTCTGAAGAACTGAGCTCATCTATCTGCCTTCCATGTCTTGGTGAGGGAAAAGAAATCTGACTAGGAGGATGAGGGTCTTGACTGTATTCTATTCCTTCAACACCTTCAGGATTACAGTGTCTCTGTATTTATGTGCAAACTAGACAGACAAAGAGGGAATGTTAGGACAGAGGCACTAGAGGAAATCTTACGAGCTTTGAGTATAGGAGTGGTCCTTGACACATTCAATCCCTGTTTGCAACAGTTAAAGTCACGTCCGATCATTCTTAAAAGCCCCTCTAATCTGCTGTCCTGTCCTTGGTAAAGGACAAAGTCCTTGGTCATTGACCAAGGTCTAGCTACTACAGCAAAGGCCATCTCCCTTTAAGTCATGTGGATTACTCTAGGGAAAGACTCCAGCATAAAGCACAGAAATCTGCATAAGGATTTACCTCCTCACAACACCATGTTGCAAGATAGAGATCCTCAAATACCAATGAACATTGCAAGCTGACCTTAAATAATGAAGTTAATGAGTTATGAGAAAGACTAAAATGAGCACAAAAAAAGCATTGATTATCTCCTCAAGAACTTTCTACTGGAAAATCATATGGCAACTGTTATTTTCCTGTTGAAACTGCTCTGCCAGACATGCTTAGTCCTACAGAGAAGGGTTCAGCTGCACTTCATCTTTCTGACAGTCAAGACTTCTCAATGAACAAACAGTGCCAAGGAAAGAAAGCCCTATACAGCTGTTCACCAGCACCCTGAAGCAGATGATGGCCCCACAATTTATCAGTGTAAGTAACAACTGCCTAACTTGCTCAAGGAGAATTTAATAGAATCATGGAATGATTTGATTTGGAAAGGACCTTAAAGATCATCACCCCCCTGCATGGGCAGGGACACCTACCACTAGATCAGGTTGCTCAGGGCCCCACCCAACTGGCCTTGAACACCTTCAGGGATGGGGCTTCCACAAACTGCCTGGGCAACCTGTTCCAGCATCTCATCACCCTCACACTGAAGAATTTCCTCCTAACATCTAACCTACATCTCCCTTCTTCAAGTTTTGATCCATTAGATCTTATCCTCTCACTACAAGCCCTTGCAAAAACTCCCTCCCCACCTTTCCTTTAGGCCCCCTTCAGGTACTGGAAGGCTGCTGTAAGGTTTCCCCAGAGCCTTCTCTTCTCCAGGCTGAACAGCCCCAACTCTGTCTGTCCTCACAGGAGAGGTGCTCCAGCCCTCAGATCATCTTCTTGGCCCTTTTCTGGACTTTCTCCAACAGCTCCATGTCTTTCTTATGTGCTGAGGGAGAGGATTTTGAGTGAACCCAGGTTTCCCTGGCATAAAAATGGGTGTGCTCACACATTCCTTATGCTGTGAAAGTGTAAGTGCACCAGAGTTAGTGACACTTCATCTGAAATTGCAAGACCTAACAGGTGACACTGCTTCCTCACCATCTTTGAGCTCTTCTCAGAAGTAGATCTGGACAAGCTGAGGGTCAATCAACCCACACCTCAGCTTCCTCAAGGTGACTAAAGAAGGACAGTGGAAGAAAAGTGTACTCATGACATTTGATTTGTTCCAACTTCGTTGCTTGTTGGCCCTGGGTGAAAGTGGAGCACAGAAGAGCAAACAGATTAGCTGTCCATCCCCTGACAGAGAGGTGCTGACCTTCACAAGTGTGTCTTGGCTGCACTCTGAGCTAGCTCAAAACCAGGAGCACACACAGCACTGCCCTTGCACAGACTGCAAGGTGTAGATGTCTGAATGAGAGACATGTCTTCACTTACTTGTATTTTCCCAGCCATGAGTCTGCCATGATGGCTCCAATGACAGGTGTGAAATAACATAGTGCAGAAAAGGCATGGTACACAGCAGTGGAGAGATTTTCATCCCAGTGGAAGAAGCTTAAGAAGTATAGTGTCAACACAGCTAAAAGCCAACAAGAAAATCACATCAGATAATTAATGTGTAGCTCTGCAGGTAAGCAGGAACACAGTGGCAAGAAACAAGCTGATTCCTCTAGCAGTTATGAGCACTGTTTTGGAAAGATCTGTGCTTTCAGACCTGTTTCTCAATCTTTGAGCAGGAAAAGCTAAAATGAGATATACAAGTATCAGGCATTCTTAGTTCATAAACATTAAGGTTTAGCTACAAAATATATTTTCTAGCTTATCTTACTATAACCTGTAGTTCTGTTTATGCACATTTTCTTTTTGCAAGTTAGATACCTGTATGATTCAATTCCCAAACATGCTGAGCACACAACTAAGAAAGATATCACATGCTGGGAAACCAGGTCTGATACAGAAAATCATAAAAATTTTGACTGGAAGGTACATTTGGAGCTCTCTAGTCCTAGTTTCTGCTCAGAGAAGGGGTGTCATCAATGTTAGGGCACATTGTTTACACCTGTATCCCAAAATGCAAATATACCTTGAAAGACAGCTAAGAACACAGACAGCACAGCCCTGGAACACCAGGCCAGTGTCTGTAGAAACTTAAGGATGACAAAGTCTCTTCCCAGATGTAGGTCACATACCTCTCATGCCATAGTAGGAGAAGCGCTCACAGAACTCATTCACCACAATGAAGGCAATGCTTAAGGGGTAGTTTGAGCCACAGAGTTTCTGCAGGACATAAAGAAGAACATAACAGCTCTATGAAAGCCTTCACCCCAGCAACATATCCCCAGAGTGTCTGGGCAGTGGAGGGAAGTCCAGTCAAAAAAAACAGGTGCCCACTGCTGCTTGACGGGCCTGTGGATTAGACTCAAAGGAGGGAAGGGACCCACACCAGTCTTGCTTTGGTTAAGGCTCTCCAGAGAACCAGCTGCTGTCTGCTGTGTGAAGCTGCTCTCTCCCATGCAACAGTTGCCCTCAACCTCTGCACTTCACTTGCACTCAATTGTGCCACCAACTTCACTGAAGCAGAGCATCAGCCCTGTGTCCTGCACTCCTCAGGCACAGCATCTGTTTCGTATTCCAGGAACGCTGGCATAGCTACGGATAAGTCAATTTATTAATGAAAACTAAACAAAACATCAATGGACTGTCAAACCTGTCTGAACATGGCCACTCTGACTTTACTCCAGCTAAAATGAGCAGTTTCCAAGTGAAATAGAAGGCTTTTAAACAGAGGAGTCTTGGCATGACCTTGTGTGGGCATCCAACCCTCTTGCTACTCCATTGCAGTCCGAGATAAGCAGCTGGAAGCTGCTTAGCTCCACTGCCTCACAACAGGGAAAGTGGGTTTTCACAGAACTGCCCAGCCTGGGCCAATTAGTGGGAGAGAGGGGCTGGCACTGCACTTGGTGAGGGATGGGGGGAGTGTGATAGCAACAGCTGCATTTATATTTATGGTTTGAAGTGAAACAAACCCTTCACATGCATTTCTGTGCCTTGTGTCAGAAATAAATCCCTGTATTTCTTCCCACAGTCCCAAATGTAAATACAGGTACCAGAATAGATGTGTTTATTTAGGTTTATTTCACCATCAAGAGACCTGAACTTACTTGGATTCCCAAAGCAACAGCATCAATTTTAGAAGAGTCTAGGCTTAATGATGCTGTCTTGCTCAACATTATAAAAGACCAACAAAAGAGACTGACCGTCCACAGCAACAACAACAAAAATCAAAAGCATTGCTTTCCATTACTTAACCCAGCATCCCTAAAGACAAATATTTCTCCTTTTTAATATATATTTTTCTGATACTATTTATAAGCCGCCTTTTTTATTAAGAAACCCTTGGCCTCTTTGCTTTACTTGAGTAAATATATAGTTATCCATTCCAAAACCATCATGCTCAGCATATGGCTTGTAAGACAGAGTGGGCTCCCTTGGAAAGCACACTGGGGCCTCTTGCCTTTATACTAGCCTAAAAATGGTAGCATATGTAAGCTGTAAATGCACTAACACACATACATATGCACAAAGAATACCTTTCTCCAACAAATTTTTCATAAGAAAAGCCATGAGGCAAGTTATGTTTCCTACAAGTACTTGGAAGCATTTTCTGAACTTGGAAATAAAATTGTATAATAGGGATATTTTTCCTACTCTTTCACAGACCTAGCAGTACTCGCTAGCAGTGCTCATGAGATGTAATAACATTTGATGAAGATGCAAAGCATGGCTGTTCCAACCCAGATGGCCAGGTGTCAGGAGCCCTGCTGCCTGAACTCACCCATCCATACCCGATGCACAAGCCCTGCTGGATTTAGCTGCAGCAGGTTAAGGTACATATGCCACACTGCGACATGCAGGGACAGAAACCCAGGGAATGACCCCTTTCAGCCACTCTTGGGCACCTCCTACAGATGAGCTGGGAAAGCAGAACAGAAGATGGTGACTTCCCAGCTAAACCTCCCCAAACACCTGAGCCAGGACACTGAGTAAGTGCTTACAAACAGAGCAACCACTTACAAGTGGGGGTACTTCCATCTGGCTTGTATGTCATGAGATGCCATCAGCACATGCAGAAACCCTCATGTAGTCTCTCTGCTGTATCACTGACCTGCCTGTGGCCTGCCTGGGCATCCAAAAGTGGGCAGCTTTCATCCATACAGAGAGCCAGATGCAGTTTGCTTCCTTCCGTGGAGGACCGTGCCCAGCACAGAGCCCCGGCACCAGCAAAGAGGCTAAGCCGGGATTCCTGAGCTCACAGATAGGCTGCTGTTCTGGGCTACCACTGTAAGTCTAGGATCTGTGGGATTATGGAGCTCTTAAAGATACTGTAGAAGTTGATAGTCTGTGTCTTCAGAAAAAAGAAAGGTCATTTGAAATGCCAGCTACAGGAGACATTCATTTTCACCTCTCCTTGCTGATTAGCTGCAAAATGTGACAAAGATTAGGATTTTCCCAGGAGCTCTGGATATCCAATAGTTAATGTCTGCACAGTACTTAAATTGTCACTTCAATAGCTGGCTTACTAATGACATGACTGTGAGCTTTAAGAGCAAGTATTACCATACTGTCCTGCAAGCTGAAGCAGGTGCAATGCAAGCTCTGTTCTCCCTGAAGTCAATACAGTACAGTTTTGAGAGGTCAAGCACTCAGCAGAACCAGCCTGGAAACCTGTGCAGACATCAAAGCCACAAGGCAAAAAAATACTAATCTGATACTGGCTCTAAATCAGAGCCAAAGATGTAAACCTGAGGGTCTGGCACTACAGTTAGGATCTCTAGCACACATTAGTGGCCTGTCCTCAATCCCCGACCTTTCTTCTGCTTTGCAGCATCTAGGGACACCTTCCTAGTGGGTTTCTTTAGACTAAGCAAACCAACAGATCAGGTCCCTCCCTCCCACTCACAATATTCCCCCCTCTTCTTCAGGGAAGTAAGTCCTTTCCCACAAGGAAAGTAGTGTTCAGGAAAAAGGCAGCAATCAAAACCTTTACCCTTTTTCACAAACATTCAGACAGGTTTGTTTTGTTGTTTTTTTTCCTTTAAGCTGCACTTTCTTAACTTAATCAGGTTAATGGAGGGATTTTGCCTTGAGTTCATGCTTATTTCAACCCTCTGCAAGAAAGAGTGTTTGTCTCTAGCCAGAGCACAACAGAGAAAAAGAACAGAGAGATCTTGCAATATTTAGAGCAAGCTGAGCAGAACACAAAGAAAAGGAAACCAGCTGTAACACTCACCGAGGATTTTTTCTGAACAGGGAATTCTCCTTTGGGGGGATCATCTCCTGCAGAAATAAAAGTGAACAAAGTTTCCTTGGATTCGTTTCTCTGAAAAGCGTTCATCTCCACTCTCGCCTTGTCTCCCACCATGCTATGTGGCTGTGGTGAGTTGACTGGGAAGATTTCCAACATCAGGCATGAAGTTTGATTCAGTTTGAGTTAACCCTAATTGAGCACATTTCTACAGCCAGGGCAGAAAAGGGAGGGAGATGCTACCAGGAAAGACAAGTCCAGAGTTCAGGAAGAGTCAGGGAACTCAGCCTAAATCATTCACACATTGGGGCTGTCAGCACTTTGCAGCACAGACCTCCTATTTCCTTGGCATGCCCCCAGCTATTGTAGACATACCAGCCCAAGCACTGGATGCTGAACAGATGTGAGCTGAATAAAAATCCAAGGTCCCAGATATCCCTAGAGACTGCACATTTTGGAACAGAGCATGCATCTCCCTTCCCAATGCAGTAAAGACAGGTTTATTCTGCAGGGACTACAGGGATCTCATTCCACTGCAAATCCACATGTCCATCCCAAGTCATAACTACTAAAACCTTCAGCATGCCAAACCCTTGACACTGGATGTCACAGATACCTGCACTCTGTTAAAAAATTTCTTTGCTACTGGAGGAGTGAGGTGACACAGGGTTCATTCCTGCACCGATTCCCTGGAATGAGGTTGTCTTTTTATATGGGACAGTTGAATTCAAAGGGTACAGCCAGCACCCAGGAGCAGCCTCAAGCCTTGTCTCTACTTCTTATATCCAAAAGGCCACCTATGTTACAAATGCTGTGCTGGGAGCCCCTGGAATACCCCTAAAGCTATAAGGACTCAGCTCCCTGCCAATACCCTGTTGTCCCTTCTGCCATGCCCTTTCCATAGATGGAAGGAAGAGGAGCTTTTTATCAGTATTCTTCTATTGCCAGTTGCAACTACAAAATTCACAATCTTTCCACAAACCACCCTCAGTGGCTGAGGCTCTGCAGCATTCTCAGTGCACAGCCAGGGTTATTTTTCTTCTCTTTACAACTGACTTTTTTAAAAGGCAAATGTTCAAAAGAATTTTCCCAAATATTTCTCCCTTTTCTTACTAGCAAGAGTAGAGACCCTACCCAGATCCTGCAGTTGGCACAAGAATTCTCCATAAACTGATACCCAAGTCAAATACCCAGCTGCTGCTAGTATTTGGTACCTCAGGAACCAGGTTTGCAGCTAACAGACCAGGAAAGAGTCCTTTGCTCACAATACAGAGCCTTAATTTGTCCTCAGTTATTGCTAACAAGATATGGGGAACACAAATAAGAGACTCAGATGAGACAGAGGGCACAAAGGAAACAATTACTCTCCACATTCCCTTGTGTGCTCTGGCATTGCTTCCTCTGAAGATCCCCATGAGTCCTGTTTCACTGCTGCTAACTGGGCAGCTAAAGATGAAGCCCAAACTTCAGATGAGGCCAGGAAAGCCTACCCATTTCTTAATGCCTTTTCCAATTACAGCCATGGCAAAGCAACAGTTTGGTACATCTCATATACTGCCACAGAGCAGCTACTCATCTCCAGACTTCCCAGGCATTTCCATACCCATACAACCTTGCTTTTCACCTGGGTCACTTCTCAGGTGCCACAAATCCAGGCAGCTTGGATTTATTAATCCTATTCCATAGGCAAGAGTGACTCTCAGGCATACCCAACACTGGGAGCAGTGCAAGGACAGGCCTTGGGCCTGTTGGTCCTGTCTCCTGCACACCAGGTTAGCATGTACTCTTGTCTGGCCCTGTGCTAGAGGCAGCAGGAACATTTCTGAGCCCTCTGGTGATACCCCTTTCTACCCCAGGTTTCTCTACACAACTGCGACTAGATATTCTGCTGTGCACAAGCAAGCAGAACAAACACAGCAGTGATGTTACTAAAGGAGTAGCACAAGACAGAAAAGGATTCACTATCCCTTGTGCAGGGCTCCCATCTTGCTGCAATGTGATTCCTTAATATTTTTTCCATCCTGCAGCTGTATTGCCTGAGTGTGTACATAGCCCTGTGAGCCACATAGCTATTTTATTTTTTTAATACTAGCATGAAACACTATATCACTCTGTGGGATTAACATCCAACTTGTCAAGTATGCTGCCAAGATGTTTAGGTCTTTAGCTGCCAGGTTTTCTGAAACAGAAAGGGAGAAAAAGAACTCAGAAGTCTGCTAATAAACGGTCACCTATGGCAAAGAGCAAGTACAAGTTAAAGAGAAAATCTGCAAGCACCTCGGATATGAATTCAGAATAAGACTCAATAGAAGGAAACCTGTGTGGCTGGGCTGAAAAAATCAGGAAGGAATTGTACCACAAGTGGAAATAAGATGGCATTTCTGAAGACAAGTATAAACAAACAGATCAAGCATAGCATGACACAGGCTGCAAAGCTAAGGCACAAAATGAATTACAGCTAGCAGGGAACACAAAAGGCAATAAGGTGTTAGAAATGCTTTCAATACTGGAGAAAGAGGAAGGAAAATGAAAGTCTGTTATCTAAACTAGAAAACAAGCAAAGAACAGCTCATCCAGAGAAGCCAGAAAAGTTTTGTCCTTTCTGTTTGTCTTGGCTAAAAAAAAATAAATTGCAACAAGGTACATATCACTATTAAAATGAACCAATAGGAATATAGGTGAAATGAGACAGAAATCCCTTAAAGAATATTTGGATACCTCAAATGTGCTCAAATCATTAGACCCTGATGAAATTCACCAAGTGCAGAATGTAGTATTGAACCACTTCCCCTGTGAAGAGCAGAAGCAGGACAAGCATCATCACTGGCTTTAAAAGGCAGGTTAGGACAACCCAGTCATGTTCCTCCATAGCCAGAGAGATACTGCATCAGATAATCCCTTCCAAGCACCAAAAGGAGAAGAAGGATGACAAACCAGCCATTTTGGGTTGGAAAAAATGCTCTCCAACCAGACTTTTATTCTTCCGTGGCAGGATAAGTGTTGCAACAGGATGCAATGTATCTTAACTCTAGGGTTTCTAATGTCTCAAGGAAAAGAGGATCCAGATGAAACACCCATATAGAGAGCAACTGGGAAATCCCTCTTAGAGTAGCTATTACTGATTTTCCATAATATCAGGAGGGCAAACACAGAGATCCTGAGCTTTACCATGAGCAAAGAGTACACCAGCACAGCCACTGTGCTGTTCATGTTTGTGTTCAAAACCAGGGTGAAGCAAGCCTGGGGGAGAACAGTGTATGAACTCAAAATGATGTGAAATGGGAGAAGCCACTTGGCAGCTCTGGAATGAAAGGATGACATTCAGGGAATATGACTATGAAATGTAAACATTATTCATC